TACAAGAACCAAAAATTGCAATGTTTTTCTTTATTAGCGTTTTACTTGCGTCGTTAATTCTTGATTATGATCAATGAATCGCACGATTTTGGTAACTCAAAAAGTGTTTGTATAGCCGAGCAGAAGGCCACCTGAACTGATTGATTCATAATCAGACTTAGCGCTTATTTGTGCACGCATTGAATAATGCAACATGGCACACAGTAAATCAGAAAGCAATCATCAGTTATTTTACAATACATAATTAACAGTAATTAACATTTGGAGCAAACGAATCGAACACTTTTTCTGAACGATTCATTCGTCTTAATTCTTCATCGAATGATGATCGATCGATTGAAAATTAGTAAATAGATTTGTCTCAGTTACTCTTCAAAAACTTTTTCACAGCTTCATTTATGATTCCTTGAACTTTGCTTTCTCCATTCGATCTCTTTATCTGACTAAAGTGAATTGATTTCATCAAATATTCATCTTGCTAAAAATGTTTTTAATGCGTCGCGTCGCTATCATATTAGATGTCAGCCATGATGTCAGTTCATCAAATTGATGAGAATTAAGTTCACATATGCAAATGCACTTTCCGAACACATGTGTTTTAATACATCTAGAGCGGTGCTTCTCATAGGGTGGTAAATCAGCCCATGAAAGATAATTTAGGGATTTCAGAAGGGTTACTAAGGAGGTCGGCAAAGTAATATTTCCAGTTATGATGGAACGCCACTGTCATAGTGTTTTCATTTGGGTATCTAAACTTGATTCGTTCATGGCCATCTTCTTCTTTGTCCTATTTTCTGAGCATCTTTACGTCGTCTGGGCCTAAGCAAAAGTTCACTGCATCCTTCATTTTCTTGAGTGAATGAACTTGCTAATAAATTTCAATTTTTTACTGCTGGCGAATATTTTTTTCATTGGTTTCCGTTGCTAGTTGCTGGCGTTCATATTCTTTCTGCAAGTGATGAAAAGTATCAAGAGTATTTATTTCATTCTAGGAAATCAATTTCTTTCACGCCATCGAAGAATTTCTAGGCCGGTTTTCAACTTACTCTTGTGTGGAAATAGTAAGTTGTTGTAGCGGGGGAAGGGATGGGGGGGGGAGTAATGATGGCCTCCCAGATCATCGACGGGAGCAGTGGAGCTGTTAAGCATTAGAATCACTGGTCCGGAGGATAAACAGTTCTATTTTAAGATCGAAAGGGATGAACATAACAGAGAAGTTGTAGGTATTTACGTAGCACATCCATAAATAATTGGATTGATTAAGGAGTTAACAATGATGAGATCTTCAAGAAGATGACCTCCGTTATCGCAGGCCCAGGTGAAGAAGTCATAACTGATGAATCTTGATGTGCTGATTATATTGTAAGGCAACCAAAGTGTTATATGAGCAGCAATAATAGTTAAGGATATGACGAACACTTTCGAACGTAGTTGATGTTGCCAGAACGGCAGAGATGGCTGCCTCCTTCGCATGAATAAATCTGCACAGTTTATCGTTGGGGACCGCCATCTCTGGAACAGTAACATTAGTCGATTCATGAACAATTCTGCCTTATTTCCAATGAGACTGCTTTCTGGTACATCTACTTCCTTGTAAGTTGAGATGTGTTAACGAAAGTGACCTGTCCAGTCGCTGAACTGCTACGAAGTGCATCATACCAATCACCTGACTTATACTTCAAATTGTCTCTTATGTAATCTAACGATGTACTGGGACCAGATCTTGAACGCCTTATCTGCAACTCAATGGTCCGTTCAAGCTATTAACCATTGACAGAGGATGCATTCAAAATCAGTGAATTCATATTACATACTTTTCCGAGAATATGAGTAATGCCTTTGGAGGATCAGTTCATAGAATGAGAAAAAGCTTTTGAAAAAATACATAATTTAGATGAGGAATCTCTGAAATTCAACAGTATGAAGATAAGGGATCGAAATTAGAAATGAAAACAAGTGACAGTTGATGAGTACGCTGTGATTTTGAGTTGGAGTTGAGAGGTGTCTTTTGCGGATGCATTCAACAAAAAACGATCGGTTGTGTTTGTTGAGATGTAATTGTTGACATGAGTGTTTATACCGAACTGAGCACTCTTTTATCTCAGCGCACAACAGTTGACCCTTGTCCAGTGAGATCCTCTCCATCCTGAATTTTGTCCTTCTTTGAATGCATATTCATCCTCACAAAAAGCNACTCTCATCATTCACCACCTGCGCATTTCCTTTTAATTCATTACAAACATATAATTTATTCTCCAATATTTATTCTTTCACTTTTCGTCACAATTCCGTTCGTTATCAGCAATTACTGACAAAAAGTTCTCGCCAATTTACTTGACTATGCTTTTTTCATTCGTTCTCAATCTGCATCATACCAATAAAATAGTATTTTTCTATTGTGACAACTAAGCATGGTTTTGACTGCGTTATAAATTTTTCAAAAGCAGTAATAGAGTTGCCAACAATACCGACTCTTTTAGTTAGTGCATTCTTTCGATCTTTCGCAGTTATTTGCTCTTTTCAAAAACGAATGCTCTTTAAATGCCTTTATTTTGTGAGGAATGCGAACATATGCTGTAGAAGCATTGCATTTTCTGTCGTTGTAATCGAGAAAGAAAGCTTTAAGATCAAAAAACATTGAAGGAAGATAAATTTGATAATTCTAACACTTAATCAAAGATTAACCGCATTCATAATTAAGAACTCTTTTCCTGCAGCCATAATGATGTCTTTTTCTGGCAATATTCTTAATCGTCCTAACGTTTCATAATCAACTTCGCTGTATGATGTCATGAAATTGAATTTTGCGCTATTTTCGCAACAGTTGCTCTTTTCTTCCATAGAATAATTCCATGAAATACGCTGCACGCTTTCCTCAGCGACTTCCAAATACTTAATTGGTAAAATATTCTATTCACAACGTTCGTTCAACTGATTCATTCGCTACACAAAAGTAATCATTATCGTGCACTTTTGAGTATTCAGCCGTGCACGTCTCATATTTCCTTGATCAGTTTTCCTATTCTACGTCTTTTAAAACTGAACTGACAAACAACAAACAATTCTGTGCAAACATTCTCTCGACTGACGTTCGCTGAACGATGTCTTTTATAATCTGTGAAATTCCAGTGTTTATCATTCTGATGACTGATAATTCAGCAGTTATCAGTTGACGATGCATATAGAAGCACATGAGGGGAGCAGAATGATTACTGTGCTCACAAGGAAAGGTCACGCACTTAAGCTGGCGTTTCGTGATGAGATACACATCATATTGTAGAGCTCCTCGAGCTGATCATGAATGTGTAAGAAAATTTTGCGAAACACAAACGGGAGGTGAGATATTGCCAGATTATACGCTGTGAATGTTCAACGGTGATCAGACGCTGTAGCTGATTAATGATATTAACAGAAACTACCTCTGATCTTTGCTCAACATTCCAGTTATCTTACACTTAGTCATTTCATTCAGAATTCAGCTGTATTCCGTACCGATTGAACGACATCGAAGAGCCGCGTTCTGATTGTATCATTGATGACTTTCAATGACCAACTTTTTAAAGCATCGACTTAAGACATCAGATTCAAGACTGCAGAAAGTTGTTCTAGTAAACAGCAAGGCCGCTCATATACAGTTAATTGCAATCAACAAGATTCAATAGTTTTGAGACTGAATTGGATATTCAATACTTAGAAAGCAAAGGAACTGATGAAGGTGAACCTTAAAGGCGGTGCTGAAGGTTGTCTATGTCTGACATTGGATTGTGAGGTGTGTAAACCTGGCCGACAGGTGTAATGTAGAATTCGAATAACAATCAGAACGTATGACAATGACAGTAATAGCGATGGCAGCCACACCACAAGTGCTTGATGTATTAATTCGTAGATCATCTGAAGGCGTTCGAATGCGGCTGACGAACGACCCTGATGAGTAGCTATCTGCAACATTTTATAATGTCAGGCTCAGTGATTCTGTACTTACGGTTTGCAATTGAAATGTTGCATTCATTATTGCCTGCCTCATGCTTACAAGTCGTTTTTTGAACTTATGCAGACGATACATACACCTACGGAAATTCTCTCTGAATTTCGATCATCCACCACCTGTTGCACAACAGAATCGCATGCACACATATGCTGCACACTTCAACACACCATATTTGAGCAATATTTTGCGGACTGATATTCATGAACACACTCGCTTATTATCAATTGATTCTTGATTTTAAATAGTGCTTTTTTTGTGACCGAATGAGCGATATTCGTTGAAAAAAATGAGTAAAGTTCAAGGAACCGAAAAGTTGTTTTTCAGTTTTATTCGCATGAGCGACCTTATGAATGCACAATGTACTTTTTTGAAGGAGACTCACAACGTAAATAAGCTGCTACTCATGGAAATTTGCACCATTTCGATTGAATAACAACGAGATGAATACGACACTCATCAGTGAGATAGAAATGCTGTTTAGGGAACTAACCTCCCATATAGTGCTGCACTGCATCCAATCAGCAGTCACTTCAATCGTTGTCCACACATAAAATTGAGGTGCACTACAAATACATGCGATTATCCATGCTATCAATAACATATACCGCACTCGTCTTACTGAAGTTGCACCTGCAATTCATACTCGTTTAATTCAACACGCATCTTATACAAATACATCAGTGAGCTTAACCTTACATATAATGAGAATAGCGTAATTGCGTTGCCGTGCATTTTAGTGTATCAAACTGAAAATTTTTAGTAGATCAATCAGAAAAGTGGATCAAACTGAAAGTCACACTTCAGGTAATCAAAATCTTCACACAATCTTCATTTCATCACACCATTGGACCTCATCCCATGTCTTCTTCTGATTGTGTGCTATAATTTGAAGAGAGGTAGTTTTTGTAACCTTGAATATGACTCGTATAAACAACTTTGAGACGATCAATGCCTATCGCGACAACAACATTCGAATTGCTGTAATAGGTGAATGCCGAGAGAAATTGGTAGATTTTACAACTCGCTTCACCGAATGGCCATTCATACGTGAATAGCCAAACAACCTGGAATTGAATTTGAACAGTGAAATCAAACGTTCCTATGAATATTCAATTAATTTCTGTATTGTATTGTGAGGTGTTGTCGAGTCGTATGAATTTTATAAATCTAGATCTTTAATGTTTTTTTTTGGCTTTGAGTGAGGGATGTTTGATGAATTTAATGCTGGACGTCGATTAGGAAGATACTGTCGTATAATATCCTTGCTCGATGGATGATGCGAATGTGTTCGTTTCTTCATTGACTGAGGCAGTGAAGAGGGTAACATTCCATTTATGTACATTGTTATCAACATTGAGGAAGTCAGCATGAACGAATAGGGAATCAAGAGCATCACTGAGTGAGGGATGATTCAATGTAATCTACGATTCGTCTCATTCTTCTTCAGAAAACGAATTCATCTGCGAGACATCCTACTCAATGATATTCTGGACCTTGCTTATGGTTAGCATTTGATAAAAATCTCTGAGGAAAGTTGAACAATGCCGAACGAGTGTTCTGAAAAGAAAATTCCTAATTTTGTTAATTTTGTTATCAATCTATCGACTTGTTGCCAATAACAAGCCTATTGTTAAATAACCGAATCCATTCGTTAATTGTGTTTCTGCTTGGATTTTAATAATTTGAATCAAAGCTTCAGTTTATCGGTAACGCTTTTGGGATTAAGAGTAACAGATTAATGAAATCAGAGTAGGATAGAGATGTATTGAATGAGGAAAATTCGGATGGATAAGCGAGCATTCAATTTATGTTTAAATCGGTTCTTAAGTAAACAGTTATAAAATGTAAAGAAAAATGAAATGAAGCGATTCAATTTTATTAAAATCCATTCCCAAAATTAGTGAATTCAAGACGTAGATTCACGTTTGCTTTATTTAGCTTCGAAATTAACGACATTCAAAACGAATGAGGAATGCATCATGAGAGGCAAAATGAATGGTTGTTAAGTCTAAAAAGTGATGCTTCTTTTTAATGCGTGCTAGAGGAAACGTTGCTTTTTTATTCATTCAATATTCAGATAAAAAGGCCTATGAGATTGAATGAATTCGTTTGAAAAATCGGCTACGAATGAACTTGTTGACAATGAAAAATCACGAAATCTAACCACATAGTTTACTTTATGTTCACGAAAGAATTCAAAGTGATGCTCAAGTTGAACGAATGCTAATTTCCGTACTATTACTCAGTAACATCACAGTTTAATTATATTCAGTTAGCTAATATCACTAAATCGTTTCAACTAAATAAACGCGACGGAAGGAAATCTTAAACGAAAACTGATGCAATAATCGAGAAATATCATTTGAAGAGTGTTTGATCGTATAAGTGCATAATGAAATTGAACGAGGCGATGAGAATGGATGAATGAAGCGATCAAATCAATTGAATGTATACCTTGCCGAGTGCATGAACCAACAAAATGGCGAAGTCAGTAATACATAAATTGAGTTGAAACAATGTGAATGAACTGATCTGATACGGACCCGAGAGGAAGTTGGTTTTAGCCGTTGGCGTTCTGAATGCATAATATGTATTATTTTAAAAGCTCATCTAGTAGTTTCATTGCACAATTCATTGATTCATCTTTTCCATATTATTGACATTCGGTAAAGTAATTTCCAATCTCCTTTATTTTACTCAAGAAGACTGGATTCCATTGTTTAGAACAATTGATAACTGCAGAGAATTCTTGGTGCAGCTGTTTCTTTAAAACTGAACGACAGTTTCATTATTCGATGGTGTGTACGCAATGCTTCGACACAAGAATGCAATTTCATGCCAACTCGCGATAGAATTTTGAGCCTTTGAAGTGATAACATTTGAACTGCTTGAATAAGAGCAACTAGGTGCACTAACCTGGAATGACGTATAATTTGCATGAATCTGATGATATTTAATAGAGTGCCAAAGACGATAATCACCGAAAGGAAAGCAATCTCTACGGTATCAATTGACAGTCGCGTTAAGGGCTGCACATCGCTCGTTTCGTTCATCCTGCACAATGAATTTAGTATTATTTGCTCGTATCCATTCTGTTGCGGTACACTAATCTCGTTTGCGCTTTCATTTTACACTCTACTGTCTAATGATCGTCTGGACAGGGCAACCATCTTTTTTACAGTTACGTTAGTGATCATAATGCGTGATCATCAATCGCAAGTCCAGTTCACTACTGCTCTGCAAAAACAGCATTTGTATTCCAGTCCATTTATAGTTCCAGGGCGTTCTGGCTTTTCTATTGCGGTTAGTGTTTAACTGTTTCTTAAGTGATTCATTATGAATGATCGCAACGAGGTTTCCTGATTAGGACACTTGCTGATTCATCGAATAGGACACTTCTTGATTCAAAACATATTTCAAGAGATGACACGACAAAACATTCACTCTTCTTGATCATACGACTATCTCCCTTTAACACTTACTTTTGTGAGCCGAACACGGTACCGGCATAACAAAACAACATCTCGCAAGAGAAATTGCACACACCAACGATTAACGATTGAACTTCCACACACCAACAAATACTCAAATCGCCATTCTACTCACGACTACTATTTGAGGAACTGAATGCATAACGTGCTTATGCGGCAAAGAGAACAGGATTACGCAGTCATTTTTTTGATTCGGTATAGCCAATGATATTTTTTGATTCGGTATAGCCAATGATATTTTTTGATTCGGTATAAATTCGGTATATCGCACAGTAAAGTCTACTTTACAAACTCACAACATTACTTTGATCGAATGGGACTCTCTGTGGCTGTAAAAAGTGTTCGTCAACTCGTGAGCCTTCTTGAATTTTTTTTTACTTAGTTAGTGCCAAATTCAGAAAAGATAAATCAAAGATAAATCAAAAAGATGAATCAAATAAATGAAAAGATAAATCAAAAGTCGAGAAATATTGCAATAGACAAATGTTGGAAGCGAGTGCATAAAACCGATTCATTGAACGAACACTTCAAACTTGCATTAAGACTACGCTTACTAGCGATGATCGATTGCGTTTGATTTTCAAGTGAAATATTAATTAGATAACGGTTGATGACAGATCAAAAGGTGAGCATGCAGTGAGGAAATGAAGATAATGTAAACGAATGAAACGTTCGATAAAGAAATAAAATGAACGCAAGTTAATGACTAATGATTCGGTTAGATGTAGCGGTACGTTGGCAGCATATTTATGAATTGATAGTACAGACTTTGGCTGTTGCTGCTTGACTGTGTTGTGCGTATGAAAGAGGACTGAGCCAAAACATTGCGCATTGATAAAACGTTTGAAAGGTCGATTGAAACTGAGCACTAATATAGATTAGTTTATTAATTTGTTTGATGAAACACAAAACAACTGTGAATTGTATGTTTGAGTATATTCATCGTAAATTGTATGGTTGTATCGTTGGGTAATGAGTAGAAAGCGTGTCTATAACAGATTCAAATGAATTATGATGATTTAAGATGGTCGCTATTCGCTCTTCACAAATGACGACACACTTCATTGACATTCAACAATTCAAATGAACTTCTCAAGCGTGAAACTGCACTCTAGGGATAAGTTCTGTCTATCTTGAAGCAAATCGAGAGCAAACATGGCAAAAAATTGAACTCCACAATAGGAATTGATGTTTCTCTCTGATTCTAGTATGTGGTTTTCAAGAGCATAGTTTCAAAAGTGCTAATGCTATGTTGAAGTAGACTTAAAGGCATATTGCGATGAAGAAATGCGGCGTTTGTTCATCATTTCGTGCTTTCTTTCCTCGTAACGCTTCTAAAAAGTTGCAATAAGTTGACATAAAAACAATAAAGCTACTTAAATTTCACTAGCCGTAGGCAACTGCTTCGAGAGTCGAGTTCTTGATTTAACCGGATATTTTTAACGCACGTGTACAACTGATTAGTGACAATCGTATTCATGTCTTGAGTTCTGCTCATTGCGTCGCATGGAATATCTTAACAGGATTCTTGAAGTGACACGATGGTAATATAAATAAGGACTTTCACTTCAGCGAAAGTTTTTTTGTCAAATTCAATTCTAAGGCATTCACCGAAAGAGGTGAACAAAATTTAAAAATTTTCCCTAAAGTATCGCTTTATATGACTATTCAGTCGTAGCTATTGAGTAGAAGATCGAAGAATGAATACAGTTAGTTGTCTGGATTTGCAATCATAGTGAATGCGAAGTGGCGTTAGCAACGTGCTTGCTCATAGAAGTACATTTTGTTGCACAATGGGTTGACTGCGCAGCGATTAAATAAAGTTACACGATCGAAGAGAACAAGCACAATACTCACATGAAACGGATCGTTTATGAAGTTGAGGGTTTGCGTTTCTTAATCAGTAAAAGGTGAATTAAGTGGACACAAACACTGTAATTTTCACATGAACTATTGCTACAGGTGTGAGACTAATGCAAATGAATGCATCAAGAATGTACCGTTCGGCAAGAACATCGATTATTTAAGACAGAAGAAAGTTTCTGAGAATAATACAACTATGCCTGATAATGCTTAACCCATAGACATTATTGGCTGTACAGACATCGACAGTAAATGAATATTAAGTGAAAATTTAGCTCGAGCGGAGACTAAAATGCGAACGCGGGCAGTATGATAGAAAGTTGGAGAATCGCAGTTGGAGGATGTGTTAGGATGAGTGAAATTTTGCCGATGAATGAGAGCGAAGATATAATGTGCCTTATCGGATATTAATATTTCGAGGAAATATTTATTCAACTGTTTACTTTCGTAAGATAACTGAGGGATTAATAAAACCATCAAAGTGGGTTTAGTGAGAGTGAGCGATACGAATGCAAATAAGTAATGAACTCGTCATTAAAGAACGAATGGTTTCAATGATTATTTTCATTCGATTCATCACAAAATAAGATTCGTTAACATTTGAAAACATCAACAATCGTAACTTATCTATCGAATTCTCCTTGTTTTTGTAATATCAGTTCAGTTAAGCGCAAAATCAAAAACCACAAAAAATTCCGGGAATCACTTGATGAGAGAATCAATGGAAAAACGATATCCTTTGACGTCTTCTTGAGCGTTTTTTTTTTTCTTTCAGAAGTACGAAGATGTGCTATTTAAATTGACAAAACAGCCTTTGAGAAGATGTTGTATGTTTCCTAGGAATACAAAGATGCCAATATTAAATAGAAATTCTCAGTCCAATAAAAAACCATCTGTTGTTTGTGATTTCTGATAATGAAGTGCTCATTGAACACAAAAAGAGACTTGAAATCAAGCCGAAAAGTTCTATGAGTCTGATGGTTCATCTGTTATATTTGTTTGGAGGATCTCATCTCTTCACGTCTTGTTGAGCATTTTTTGAGCGTTCACGAGTTCATTCGTTAAACACTAAAGATGTCTATATGAAAATGGATTCCGATGAACGGTTTTGAATATTATACGTATGCAGCCGAAAGGATAGAACTAACTAGGGGATGCGATAAACTTAATGATGAGCGTGGGCGATGCTAATATGACGTTAACTGCGTTCGCTATCTCGATATGCGTCGTCGACGTTTCATCTTTCGTATGGAAATATTTGAATGGAGAGTTGAATTGCAATTACTCGGATATGTTCGATTGCAATTACTCGGATATGTTTACGGTGCGTAACTGAAAGACAGAGATGATAGAGGTTGAAAATTCAATCAGAACGATTAAGACAGTTTCATGGAACATGCGAAAGTGATTTGTGCAGAGATTGACGGAAAATGATTAGCACGGTTGTATCAACTAAATTAAACACTATCGAGTTCGAAAAGTGATTTTTTCTTGAAGTTACAGGAGACAACTGGAAAAAAAATTTTCTGTTCGAAAAAAAAAGAGTCATTAAGGCGGATGAGTACTTGAGATGGAACAGTGATTTGTTCCATCGCGAGTTCATTCGCTAAATACTTTCGCTTCGGAGAATTACTGCTGATGCAAGGAAGTAACCACATCGCATGACTATCGCAACAATGAATCTGATTAAGTTTAGGCATAAAGTATTCTATCCTGTGTGTCACTGATGGCCATTCGTCTCTCCCTAATGATATTGAATATGATGTTTTTTGGTGGATTCGAATCTCTAACATCTCTAACAGCTACATCATCCAGAAATGGAATGGAAATTAGTGCTAACACGAGGAAAGAACTGGATTGAACGATATCACAACAAGGAACTAGATCTAGTTTAGTCACGATATACACTTGTCAACAACAATTCAAATGACAACTGACATTCCTTTCGTTTCTTCGCTGCGTTCGCATTCCCAGAGGAGAATACAACTGCTTAGTGATGGCATCTGGTGATGTTCCTATACGACGTTTTTGAAAATTGTTCTATTCTGTTCGATTCTGCACCAAAATGGCTGTATTCTATTCCATCCTGTGCGTCCCTCGTTTACGAACTATTCTATTCTACTCTATTCTATCCCCCCCCCCTCCCATAAACTGTGCTATACTGTTCCAACTGCTCTATTCTGTTCCATCAGTCAGAAAAGCGATACGATAAAAGCTGTGGTAATTAGGATTCGAAACGTGGTTTTTTGGCATTTGCAGTGCAAAATGGAGATTATTTCGGGCGGGAGAAGACTGTTTACGCAGGCAGTTGACAGCTTTTGACCGTGATGATTGGAGGAAAACGGAGGGT